ACTCTCACCAGCTCCATGTCTAAGACCAAGGGGCCATCGCCCCTAATCAAGTTTCATATATGGTATATTGGTGGCGCGTAAACCCTGCCCCGTGTTTGCCCCCACTTTTGTCTCCCTCCTATCTCAGAACCACAGGGATTGCCGGTATCACCTGACCAAGGTCAGCCATGGCCGATGGCTTGGTATCGCCACTGTTAGACCACCATCCCACCCCACGCCCGCGCGTGCATTCTTCCCTAGCGTCTGCGCCACACTGACAGCAAGTCCTAGCATGCAGGCAGTACTCGAACAACGCTGCTTGCGTTAGCGATCGCCCGTTGTTTGCCGCCGTGTGTGTTTTTGTCGCATCTCTTTACCATCTTTGGTGGCGGCCCTGGTAGGGTAGGTACAAGGGGGTAGGTCTCTCCTTGGTATGGTTAGGATTTATCTTGAATAGAGAGTGCTTTTGTAGGCCAACATAGACAATAAGTTTTTTGGATTCAAATTATGTGGCTCTATAGTTCAGCTATCGTTGGGATTTTAATTTTTATTTATTCTTTTTTAATTTTTATTTATTCTTTTTTAATTTTTAATTTCTAATTTCTAATTTTTAATTTTTAATTTTTATTTAGTATTTAATTTTTATTTTTTTATTTTTTTAAATTTTTAATAGCTTTTATTCTTTTTTTATAAAAAAACTATGTATATTTGTGCGCATGTGCGCTTGTGCGTGTGTGCGTGTGTGCGTGTGTGCGTGTGTGCGTGTGTGTGCGTGTGTATGTGTGTGTGTGTGTGTGTGTGTGTGTCTCTCCCCATAGCCTACGTGATGAAGGTCCTGCTGGGCTAAGTCCAAGGATGTTGGTCCTACCCGAGCGGGGGTAGGTCCTTCATGCGCATCTTGCCAGCCTTGCTGGTTCACACACAGGGTATGTTTTATACAGCACCGGTTACATAATGTTACTCATTAATTTTTGTTTTTTAATAACAATAATTATTGTTGGGAATTTGATTTTTTAAGAATTGAAGCACCATTTGGGGGTTACATCGAAATGGTTGGTAGTTCGTGGGGTTATTTAGGACTTTGTTTAAGCTTCCAAGTAGTCTGTGTTTTCTGAATCCGTTCTTCTGAAGAGTTTGGATAGCCAGCATGATTTCTTTTACAGCGTGTTCTGGTTCCATCTCAATGGTCATAATTGTGATGATTTGTGGTATAAGTAGGTTTAGTGATTGTTGGAGGGGTCTGTTAGAGTTGGCTTGGATGAAGCATGTGATGGGAAAATCCAGTTCTCTTCTTTTGTCGTATTTGTTTGTGATGTATTGACCAGTTTCTTGATTTGTGATAGTTATTGTGGTATTCAGAAAATTGGCTTGTGTTCCGATGAACTTTTTGTTTATCAGTGTTTTTCTCGCGGTCTGTTCGCTTAATGTTATGAGGTGTAGGGGGTACAGGAAGTACTTGCTGCGTGGGCTGGTGACTTCAGGATTGAGGAATTCATCAATCCTGAGGTTATTTAAAATATGAAAATCATCGAAGTAGCGAAAAACATGTTGAAACAGGTACAACAGGTTTGTGTTGTTTTTATGTGTCATTTTTTTCATAAAATTGTATTCGTATTTGAAGAAATAAATGTTGCACCATACTGGTGAGCAGCTGACACCCATGGGGATTCCAAGTATCTGTCTCCAGATGCTTCCCCCTAGGGATGTGTATGCATTGTTGATAAGCCAGTTGTTAATCTCCTTTACAATGTTCTCAGTGAGGGTAAGGAATCCGTTAGGTGGGCTTGTATACCATTCACAGAGCGGTGTCCATTTACCTTTTCTTTGGTACATTCTGCAGGCTAACTGCACATTTCTTCCGTATGCTTTCCTTTCGTGATTAAAGGCCAGTTTGCAGAAGAATCGGATTGCAGCTGAGAGGCCGTCTTGGCTCTCGTCAGTGGGGATTGTTTCGTAGCATATAGTTATGTCCGCGGAGAAGACGGAGAAGACCTGCTGGGGAAGATTGTACGTGTAGTCTGAGGTTGAGTCTATTGGCCACCAGAAAGGGATTTTGAGTCCAATTTCCATATATGCCCTTTGTGTTAGTGTGCCACGGTGGGATTTCACCATTCGAATTAGGGCAGCAAGCACAGCAGCTGTCAAGTCAGCCAGGGGTGTGGTAATGACATCTGCTGCATTAGTTAACCAGCGGAAAGAGTTTTTGTGTTTTTTGTACGTAGCAAAAAGGTAGGGTATCTCCATTTTTCCTATGGGGATGTCTGGGAATCTTATTTCCATTTGCAGTTTCATGCCCTCTAGTAGTTCGGGGGCAGATATCGTGTGTTGTTCAAAGTCTGGTCCGGTGAGCCTTTGCAATGCTAGGAATCTAACCAGGTTGATGCAGGAGAGAACAAAGGTTTTGGGGGCTTTGTCAGCCCCGGAGATATAGAAGTGTTTGGTGAGGAAGTTAACTTCATTTTTTATTGCGTGATCGTGTAGGCTTGTTACTCGGTGTGCTGTTACATTTTCGAGAAGGCCATTAATTATTCTATTAAACTCTTTTTTTGCTTGTCTTTCTTGTAGAGTGCTTAGGGGTGTGCTATTTTTTTGGAGGGATAGGGTGAGCTGTGTTCATACTTGTTCTGCTGCGGCCACCGCATCATCTTTGTTTAGGGGAGCATGTGGAATGTGGTTGAGTCCTTTTTTCATCATGTTCCGCAGCTCAACGTTGTTGCATATGTTGAGATTTAGTGTAGTGACGTGATGTGGTTCTTCTTGGGGAAGCATATCTACTGATAATATGTTTAAAAAAAAATTATATCTTGGTTATTGGCAGTAACATTTTTCAGGAAATTGTTCTATCCATGTAGATAGATCAAAACATCGAAAGACGGCAGCTGGTTTGTAGAGTGCCTTGCTTATATGATCGTTGTATATCCATGAGAACGTGAATTTCTCTAGTATGCCAACAGCATCCTGGTTATAGTTAAGTAGTAGTTTTTTAAAAATATTTTTCAATTTAATTCGGTCCATCAATCGGTTTGCGTAGTGGTAGGAAATAATCTGTTTGTCTGATTCTTTTTTCGATCTGCATCCGAGTCTTCCGTCTTCCATTGTCTGGAGCCGATGTTCCTGCACATTACAGACATATTGACGTAGCGTAGACCATATATTTGCAATTATTAGTTACTTGAGCCAGACTGAAAAAATTGAAAAAATATCTTTTTGTCTTCATTGACTTTTCAGATGTGGGTGGTGGGATGAAACGAACTTTATATGACCACAGGCGAAAAGAGAGGTTGCGGGCATGTGCAAGTACGAGCGCTGCATGCTTGTTATAGGTATTGAATCCAAGTATTGAGTCTAGAGTACTCAGTCGAAGTCATCAACTTTTTAGCAGAGATGAGGCCGGGGACTCCTCACAAAAACTTCCCAGATTAATACCGGCGGCATTAGCCGGTTTGGCTTATTATTATTTATCAGAAGATGACATGCTTATCATGCCCCTGCCTATAGGAGAGATCAGCTAGGCAGTGTTTTATTCGTCTACAAGTAATTCTAGGCTTTAATGCTAAACACAACAACTTAGTTGAGAATTAACTTAATTATTGTATATCTCCCTATACGTACTCAGCCTATTTGGGCTAATTCTGTCCTAGTTTAACTGTTCAGTTTGTTTATACTGTCCATTGAAGAACAACCCATGTGGTCTATTCAATCAGCCCTTGCTTCGCGATCTGTTACGGTTTCCTGCCAAGCTAGCCTCTAGTGATACTAGGAAAGTTGTACTGGTAGTCCGGGCTAAGTCTCCGATAAACTCTCTTCCAGGACCCATCTGATGTTTGCGACTCGTTGTTTTGAGCCGTGCTACCGCTGTAAGTTCATAGCAGAGAAGAATTTGCGTTGCTGGCCCCATAGTTCGTTCTCAAGGCGTCTATGGCAGAGATTGGACGGATCGGGGTGTCAGGGGATGGCGAGCTAATCGTGATGGGGAACTGTCTTCTCTCTCCGTCATTGATGTCGCAGCTGCTGACTTGGATCACTTCATTGTCTGCAGTATCTTGTTGTTCCAAGGATGACATTGTCGCAGCTTTGCTCCTTAATGCCCATTGCGCCAAGACGAAGTCTGCACGTGGTGACCATTCTTGGTCCATTCTTGCGAGAGCTGGAGAACTGGTCTGTGGATGAACCGTCGTTGTTCCGGAAGCTTCCTGGGCTGGTGGTTGTTGGAGAGGAGCGGGCATCGGCTGTCGCTGCTGTTGTGTCGTGAAGACGTCCTGGATCTCTGGTTGTCTTGCATCATATTGCGGCTTCTTCCTTCTGTTTTGTTTTCTGCTTGGCGTCCCTCCGTGTGCTATCTGGATTCTTTGCGTTTTATTTCCTCTTTTGCGATTCCTTTTTACTTCTGCTGGTAGGGGGTTCATGGCAATACTGAGAAGCAATTCTCGTCGGTGCGCCTGCCTTTCGTTGTCAGTGCATGCTGTGGCGTTGCGATTGTTCATGTATGAGGTAAGGTGTGGTGGTAGTGACATTGCAAACTCAGGCTGAGTGCGAGCTCCAGCAAGTGCAGTGTGTGGTGCAGTTGAGTTATCCATGAGTACAGTGTAGCTGTGTCCCGTTGCGTTTGCCTGTCCTGTTGTGGGTGGTACGGTAGCGGGGGTGTTCGTGACGGGGGCGATGCCAGTACGAGTTGTGTTGACCTGATGAGTGGCCAGCTGTGCAGCGGCGTTGGCAAGGGTGTTAGCGGATGTCTGTCCTTGAGGGAAGCCAACAGTTGTCGGCCTGTTCGTGGTTCCTGTGTTAGAAGGTGGAGCATGCCTTTGGGGTGCGTCTGCAGAACTGCGGTTCGCATTGGGGAATGTGTTATTTCCAGTGTTATTTGGTCTGTGGAGACTGGAACTTGGCGTGGTATTTAAGTCTGCGGGTGCTGTGCTGCGATTTGGTGCGACGGTATCCGAGCCATGCAGTGGTGTGGGGGTGGTGGAATGCAGTGGTGTAGTATGTGCTGCAGTTGCGGGCATGCTTGTTGCAATTGGCGTTCTTGCGGGGTTAGTTTGTTCGGGTGTGTTGCTGGTACCAGCCGTGCTACCTAGTGTGCTGTGAGCTGGTACTGTGTGTGTGCTGCCTGTGTGCATACGTTGGATTGGGGTATTAGTGGTCATTTGGACTGGTGTGGAAAGCGACGCGATTGAGGTGGGAGTGTTTCCGAGCCTCATCTGTCTACATCTTCTGAGTGAATTGTCTTCGACACCTGCATTGCGCCGTGCGTCTGCAGACTGCGCCATTAACCCTTCAGCACCGGGAATCAACGTAGTGGTGAACTTGTGTACGAAGGGCAGAGATTCTTTTGTTCTATGTGAGAAGGCTCACGATCTTGATCATGTATTCTCTCATAAAGATGAAGGAGATTTGTGCAAGAATCGCCTTTCTCCATGTTGTGCGAAGGAGTGCTTGGAATTCAAGCATCCTGATCTTGTCTGATGGAGCACGCGGGTCGATTTTGTCTAGGTTACCGATGATGTACCAAATCATGTGGTCGAACCATGTGAAGTTTTTCTCACAACTGGGGCATGTACACTTCAAATATGGTCTTCCTGCGTTCCAGAGCTTCTTGAGTTCAGAAAGATTTGCAGGAAACTTCGGGATGCCTTTTTGATGAAGGAGTGGTCTGTTTGCACACTTGCCCTTCTCGAGTTCGGCAATCGGGGGAAACTCTGCGTCAAAGCCGCCTCTGGTTGCTGGGAAATAGATAGTACCATTCCTAGCAGCACTGCGGCAGTTCTCTACCTCTGCGTCCGTGATTGCAGCGAGAGCCATATATGCCTCCACGCTGATAGGTGCTGTGTAGTTGAATGTGTCCAACTTCCATAGACGGTTATGCACGCGCTGCACAGCCTTCGCTGTCCAACTGTCGGATGCGAGCAGTAAGAAGGGGCTATTCTTAGCGAACTTATGCCCTGCGTCTCTTGTGAGCGGTGTGAGTTCCGTATGTGCATTGCTCATTCTCTCGGCCTCCTTTTTCCTGAAGTATTCCAGCTCGGCTTGCGAGAGTGACATACGGTTGATGTATGTCTCGCTGAACGTTTCATTCCTCTGAGAGATGGAGACGTGGCCTGCGGTGTCAAGATGAGACAAATCATACCCGTGAAGCTCGAGGATGATCTTCTCGGCCTTGGCTATGATAAGGCTAAGTTCTCTATTCTCGATGGCCACCTTTCTGCAGGATTCAGCAATATTGCTAGGGAAGTCTTGAACTTTTGCGTCTAGCTCCTGTGGTTTGCATTGCATGACGTGTACAAGCGAGGCCCAATCGCTGAAGGAGAGGTTCTCGATCAGGAATGGCGGTCGTCCCATCGTTGCTTCATATACCTGCAGTAAGACGTCTGCAGGGATCGCAAGCATTGCGATCTGGCAGTGGACTGTGGGCGGCCGTAGTGCAGAGAAGGGCCTGATGGCAGCAGCAAGCTCCGGGTGCCATCCCATGAGGATGTTGTCTTCATCCTGCACATCTGTCGTTATGTAATTAGGGTTAGTAGGATGGCGGTATGTTTTTTTTAATAATACTGTATTCCTTAGTTTGCAGATCAAGATGGACTGTCATACAGGTATTCTCGAGAATTAATTTTATATATATATTTGCACAATCTATTGGTATCAGGTGAATTTATCCGATTAGGGGTAGGAAAGCGAGGGCGCAGACGTATGTGTTTGTAGTGTGTGTTTTGGGAGGTCATATAATGCATATCAATGTGTTAGGTAGGGGGGTTGTTTAGGAGGTGGTATTATTATAAGGGTCCGTATCTAAAGGCCATGGTCTCGGTTGTGCTAACAGAGTTAGTTGCGAGGTGGTATAATCATGTCTGCTAATTTTTTTCAGTAGGCAATGCAGGTTATCAGCGCAATTTTACTGTGTCTTGAATATTCTGAGCTTCGTTGTGTTTGTTTAGGCATAGGGTGAGTATGAAAGAATTTCGTTCTTACTGGAAACCATGTCTGGTGTCGCCTTCATTCATGTCATGGGGTATTGGTCAAGATATTCTCAGTCAGGTTTGTCTAAGTCTAGGTGCCAGTATTTGTTCTTAGAAGGTTTATAAACCAGTAATAGAAATATATCATAATTCATTGCATTTTGCATGTGGCTATCTGTATACCAGAAGCCCGGGAGCGTTCTTAGGACTCATAGATGTGTTGTGCTTCGCTAATTGTTTCCTTTATTTCTTGGGCTGAGTTGCCCAGGTCTGCAAGGGCCTTAAAAACTGTCGGGTTGCTAAGGAAAAGGGTAGTACCAATCAGCTTGATCTTGCGCATGGTAGCAGGGGTCTGCAGAGGTATTATTCTACTTACTGTAAACGTGATTGCGGATCATAGCATTGGTTGGCCATTCCGTTAAACTTCCATTTTGATTAGTCCTTTTAAGTTTTGCATATTTTTTTGGGGGGTCGTTGTATGTGATGTATCTGTGAGCGGTGGTCAAGGTGTACAGGGTATCTATATGTTTGTGCATTATTGGGGCTGTGTTCTGTTGAACCAGGTATGTGTATTTTTTCAGAACACCGAATATGTTTTTCATTATATTTTTCCGAGGGGATTTAAGGATTTAACGTTATGTTTTTAGGAATCATTTTGTTTTTTATTTTTTATTTTTTTATTTTTTATTTTTTATTTTTATTTTTATTTTTATTTTTATTTTTATTTTATTTTAATTTTATTTTAATTTTATTTTTAATTTTATTCGTTATTTTTATTTGTAATAGACAGCATAGTTGTTATTCTTTTAAGCTTACTAAGGATACTTTTTTAGAAACGCGGTCGCCAATTATTTGTATTTTAGAATATTTACCTTTTTATTTTTATTTTTAATTTTTATTTTACTTTTATTTTTCTTTTATTATTATTTTATTATTTTTTTATCTTTTGTTTTTTTTTAATTTTTTATTATTATTTATTTTATTTTATTTTTTTTACAAAAAAAAGTATATTATATTGTCACAAGCTGGGAAACGGGCCCAGCGTCCCCCACATCAATAACCACGGCCTGCGGCGATGAACCAGGCTCACCGGCCCGGATCAACCCCACCGCGGATAAGTCACAACCCACTCTACCCTAAACGTTCTCCAAACTCTAATAAGCACTAATTAACACCAATAACCCTAACAATAAAGCACAAACCAACTAATACCATCGAAAAGAAAACAGTACCGAAAAATCTTTAGCACTAATTAACGCAAATAACCCTAACAATGACGACTGACACCATCGAAAAATAAACACTACATAAAGATCTACACCACCAGCCCAAGCCACACAAAGAAACGGTCGGAATTCTACCCACGAGTAAGTAAAACGCAAGCCAAGTATCCGTCGTAATATACACAAAAACAAAACCTAATAAAAACGAAGAGATCTCAGGGCACACCACGCCCGAAGTAGGAATTATCAGCAACACAAAGCGACGCAGATCCCAGCTTAAAGCCCGTTGTCAGTGACGGTGGGCGATACCGGTCACCGCCAAGCTCTAGTTTAGCTCTCCCGGAAGTCGGCGCTTGTCGATGCACACACGTCTCTCAGCTCCGTATCAAAGTCAGGGGACTAAATCCCTGATAGGTTTCACATACTGATATGTACGACGCCCAGATCCCGCCCTTCAGACCACCACACATCTCCTCCTTCCTCACGTAGTCTCTCCAGGAATGTTAGCTTACACCAACCGGGACCAGGGTATGGCAAAAGCATGTTAGTGCTTCCTCGAGGCGGTCCCCACCCTGTGCCCTTGCGCTTCTTCTCCCCGTCCACCTCTGCTGTATATATCATATTTTGTTTTCTTTAAAAAAATACAAAAAATTAAGATTGATGCCTATTATTTGATATTTCTTTTTAATCCAGATTTAGAGAATGAAAGCATTCTGAGATGAAATTATTATTTTACCCTTTTTTTATATTTTTAATTATATATATATTTTTTATTATTATTTTTTATTTTTTATTTTATTTATTATTTATTATTTATTATTATTATTATTTTTATTTTTTTTTTATTTTTTTTTACAAAGGACGGTCCGAGTGTCGTATGATCCAGGCACTCCGGCCTGGTTCATACGATAGCCGCTTTCAGATTATAAAGCCGGAAAACGGGTCCGGCGTCCCTCACATCGTAGAAATGATTACGATCCATTCCAAAGTTACAGTAAATGAGCGAGTTGACAAAATCCCCATCGTGCAAAACACTAATTACCTAAAAAAGCATAAAAAGCAAACCCTACAAAGTCAGAGCCTACCACCCTTGAAATACACCCACCCCTGAGATCTGCCCTGCCACCCGCACGGCAGGGGTCTGTGACCACAGACCCCGCAAACCCACCCACCTCCTCGCGTTTTAGGGCAATCTGCACCCCCCTGCACGTACGCTCCCCGAATGGGGTTTTCACCTCCCTCCATGATGAAGATCGTATGGAGCGACGCTCTCCAGTCCATAAGAAAAGGATGGCAGGAAAAACCCAAAACACTTGTGAAGAAACAAAGTTAACGCAATTCCAAAATATTAACAAACCTGCACGAATGCCCTACCACCCGCGCGGCAAGGGTTAAAAGACCCTGCAAACCCACCCTCCTCCTCGCGATTTAAGACAAAGTGTTCCCCCAGTCAGCGTCAACCCCCTAAAACCCCCGCCGCCCATCATGATGGGGTCTTCGCAGAGCGACACTCCCATGTCCATCTCTCCATTTCACAACCAACCAAACAATTGAAAGAAAACCAAAAATGAAGATTAAAACTCGTAACCTAATCTAACAACAAGTAACAAAYACGCCTAAAGCGGCGACAAAAACAACAATCGAGAAAACCAATAAACCTAGCAGAACTTCAAAATTGATAAAACGTTTGCCTAACTCGGCTACGTAGATCCCACCAATTAGGAGTTTAATTGTAAACAAAAAGAGAAAATACGAGATGAAATTAACAAATCCTAATACTGCAATAAAGAAACCAAACCAACGAATCGCACTCCAAATTTGGAACAATAATTCCACATCCACTAAAACAACCAAAAACGTACAAGTCTAGTATTGAAAATCAAAGACAACAAGGTTTTCCTCTATCATGTTGAGGAAAAAATTTATGAATAGATGCATTCTCTGGAGATAAAATCGTTAATTGAAACCGCTCTGAGAGCAACCCTATCGCGCCGAAGTCTCCCATACTTTCGCAATAGCGAGGGGGACTAAGACCAGAGTCGCCCTGCAACTTCAACTCCATTGCAAACTCTCACCAGCTCCATTTCTGAGACGAGGGGGCCATCGCCCCTGATCAAGTTTCATATATGGTATATTGGTGGCGCGCAAACCCTGCCCCGTGTTCGCCCCCAGTTTTGTCTCCCTCCTATCTTAGAACCACGGGGATTGCCGATATCACCTGACCAAGGTCAGCCATGGCCGATGGCTTGGTATCGCCACGGTTAGACCACTATCCCACCCCATGCCCGCGCGTGCGTTCTTCCCTAGCGTATGCGCCACTCCGACATCAAGTCCTAGCATGGAGGCAGTACTCGAACAGCGCTGCTTGCGTTAGCGATCGCCCGCTGTTTGCCGCCCCCTCCGCGTCTAATTCTAGTTTAATATTAATATTCAATTTTTGTTCAAGTTGTTTTATTCTTAATGTCTTTTTATTGTTTTGGCTAATCCGGGTAGGAGCATCTCCTGCACGAGTTCTATGTGTTTTTATTTTTCGTTTTTATGTTATGTTGGTTCACTTTTGTTCAATGGGTAGGTTTTGTTGTCTGTCAAGGAGGGATCTGCTTCTGTGTTTATTGTCATTGTAGTGCGTAAGATTTTTAATTTTTCGGGTTTTTTTTTTTTATTTTTTTTTTTACGTATTTTTTATATTTTATTTTATACTTTTATTTTAATTATATAAATTTATTATTTTTATTAACAAAAGAATTATGCTTTTTTTTTATAAAAAAATTAACTGTTGCATATTAATTTTTATTATTATTACCTATTTTATTATATTTATTTTAATTATATATTAATTTTATTATTTTATTTTAGATTTTTAATTAATTACTTTTTTAGTTGTTTACAATTAATATTTGATTTGAGTTTATGTTGTTTTATTAATATTTTCGTACTATTGAGGATGCACCGGGTAGGGGCTCACGATCTTAATTAGTTTTACGTGCTTTTATTTTCCGTATTTATGTTATGTTGGAACCTTTTTGATCCATGGATAGGGTTCGTTGTCCATCAAGGTGGTATCTGCTTCTATGTTAATCACATTTGTATTGTCGGAAGAAGGTTGGTTCTTGCCTACATAACATCGTTCAGGTTTACTATATAATAGGGACGTATTCGGTTGTGATGTGTGTCCTGCAGGTGTTTGCGTATTGAACGACGCAATGCATTGTTATTGTATGGTGTTGGTGTATGCATGCTGCGAAGGCTATCGGCATAGGAGGCGTGCGGTATTTGTTTAAAGACGTGCGTGTTTTGTCAGGGGCAACAGGGAGCAGGATTTTGTTTCTTGGGAGTCTTGCATACGCAAGCAGGGAATAAGGAACGTGAGGGATGGATTACCAGGTAGCATATCATGGTGACGTGGATGGTGATACCATCTTGATTCGAGAGCGAGTGTATTTGCGTGATGTTGCCGTTGGTATGGAGCCATGGGGGTCATCATCGGAAGGATGGAGCCTTACAAGGACGTATGATGTGGATTTGAATGGTCGTATAGTTCTTCATGTGGGGGTTGTTTTTTCCTACCTTCGAGGGTCTTTAGTCACTCTTCGCTTCTATTTA